AATTTTTTTTCTCAGTGCATAAATTTTTTAAAGAGGCTCAAGCCTGCTTTGTAAAATAAGAAAAATATGGTCAGATATTTTAAAGGGACTCAAAATCGCTTCATAAAATAAGTAGAATACGCTTAGATTTATGTAATGGTCTTAAGACCATTTTGCAAAATAGTTGAATACGCATAAATTTTTTAAAGAGGCTCAAGCACGCCTTGTAAAATAAGAAAAATAAAACAAAATAAGGAAGGATAATAGCGGTCTGTCAAACTGACATTGTGATTAGATTGTTTTGAATGTGGTGGGAAGAACCTACTTTTAAAGTAGGTTAATACTTGTAGAATATTATGTTTTAAAAATTTAATTTTTATAAAACGTCAATGCTTTAACAAAATTGCATAGCATTGTTTCTTATATATGTAATAATAATAGATGTTGCAATTAATATTTCTTCTTAATATCTTTTTTTTTATTTTTTTTCTCAATTAATAGTTATCACATTTGACAAGCTTTGTATTAAAATTCTGCTTTAAATAATAGTTATTGCATTCTATTGGGAAAAGATAACAGGTGGGGGAGAGAAAGAACGCAAACCTTCCAATGCGTTGGAGAGAGAACCTTCCGGAAACGTGTGGGAGGGGGGAAAGATAACACGTGGCAGACAGAAAGAACCTTCTGGAACATAAGAATCTTCGATCCAAATGGCGGCACCGCGTCCAAAATGACGGCACTGCCAACGTGGCGGTGGCCCACGGAGTTAAAAATATCTATTGATTACGCTTAATATCGTTATCATTTAATTATTATCATTTAATTATCATTTAATTGATTTAATACCATTTAATCAATTATTTTATCATTTAATTGATTGATTATTAATTATTTATTATCATTTAATTGATTGATTCATTATATTAGGAGTGTGATTTAGTTTTAAAGGTTTTGCAAGATAATGTCGGTGTTGTCGAAGACATTTCAATCACAGCTATTGTTCTTTAATGCTTTAACATTACTTCATGACATTTATCATTTACTAACAATATATAGACGCGGTAAACATCGTGTTTATATCATCTTAAAAATGGAGTTTCGTAAACGGCATTTTCGTCCTCATGTTGCATTATTAGTGAAGCAAACGCTATTAAAGCTGAATTGGGAAGTCTTACCACACCCCGCTGATTATCTCTTATTCCGATCCAGTGAGATATACACATACTGGAGTGAGCCTTCCCTAAGAAAACGCGTGGTGGGGGTGGCCGCTGTGCGAGAGTGACAGCCATGCGGCTTGGGGATTGCTGCCTCACTTTAATAATGTCAGTTAAAGTGAGGCAGCAATCCCCAAGCTGCATGGCTGTCATTCTCGCACTACTGTTGCACAGTTCGGCCATCCCCACCACCCCAAGGCCACTCCAGTATGTTATATATCTCACTGTTCCAATCGATACAACATATGTATATGCTCTAGGGGATACGCACTTTCATCATTTCGAAAAAATGCGAAAATTAGAAAAAATTGTATCAATTCTGAAGAAAAATGTTTTTATCGTCGCGAAATTCATTTCTTGCCAGAAAAAGTTATAGAAAACGAAGGGAAATATTTTGATTACGGTCATTAAGGTATTTGTATAATAAATCAATTTTTGACAAAAAAATCCCTCAAAACTAATGCACATTCCTAATAATTTAATTGATTAAATACCATTTAATCGATTATTTTATCATTCAATTGATTGATTAATTTTAATGTAATTCATTCTTTCATTATTTCATTGATTGATTAATTAATGATTAATTGATTATCATTTAATACTGACCACCTGTGGAATCATTAAAGTCATCCTCCATTTTTCCGAGGTTCCCGGCACTATCACTCATCGTTCTCGTCAGCGATGTCAGCGAATGCACTGATATTCCAGTTGGATCTAATAATTTAAATTATTAATTCGTGCATCGATGCGTGGCATCAGTCGTCAACGCGCGATGATCACGCGTCACTCTTCTTTCTTTCTTTTTTCTTTTATTATGGGCCCTATACGGGTATTAATTCGCCCAGATTCTTAAAGTCACGTGATGTAATACTAATACGTTGTGAATGAGTACTGACGCGAAAGTAATAAAGTACTAAATTATCGCGAAGATTCTAGAACATTCTAGAACGTAGAATCACTCGGTCACAGACGCCCACCTCAGCCCGTGGCTCGCGCACGAATCCATGATCGCCACTTGAAGACTGCCGACTGGCAATGATTAATCCTTCCCTAAGAAAACGCGTGGTGGGGATAGCCGCTGTGCGAGAGTGACAGCCATGCAGCTTAGGGACGTTTGTCTCACTCTAATAACGTCATTGAAGTGAGACGAACGTCCCTAAGTCGCATGTCACTCTCGTACTACTGTTGCACAATGCACAATTCGGCCATTCCCACCACCCCAAAGCTCGCTCCAGTATATATCTCACTGCCTTGAACGGCTCGAATGGCTCTCCCTTGTATTACTGTGCCTGCATTCTCTGGCGAGTGGCATGTATGGGTGGGAGGAGGTCAGTGGTCGTTGCGCATATACTTAATCTAATGAGACAGGTTCCGCATGTCTCCATCATCGCGACTATATTATAAATAACTAAAGATTACTATAGTTTACAAAAAAATATTTCTTATTACGTTGAATCGGACTACGTGTTTCTTATAGATTTATGCTGAAAACGATGCCCCAAGTCAAATTTTTCTAGCGCTCTAACAATAAGATAATTGAGATATAATGTTCTAAAAAATGGCGATATAAAAAATAAAATTTATGCGTATTCGTCGGGTTGTTTTGAAAATGGTCTTGAGACCATTGAACAAATCTAAGCGTATTCTGATTATTTCACGAAGCGGTCTGAGTTCCTTTAAAGAATCTCACAGTATTTTTCTTATTTTATGAAGCGGACTTAAGACTCTTTAAAAAATTCCTGCGTATTCGGCTTATTTTGCAAAATGGTCTTAAGACCATTTCACAAATCTAAGCGTATTCTGCTTATTTTACGAAGCGGTCTTGAGTCCCTTTAAAAAATCTGGCCGTATTATTGTTATTTTACGAACCGTGCTTAAGCCCTTTTAAACAATCTGGCCATATTTTGCTTATTCTACGGAGCGGGCTTAAGTCGTTTTAAAATATCTGACATTTTTGTTATTTTACGAAGCGGACTTGAATTCCTTTAAAGGATCTCACAGTATTTTTTTTTATTTTATGAAGCGGGCTTGAGCCTCTTTAAAAAATTTATGCGTATTCTGCTTATTTTGCAAAATGATCTTGAGATCATTACATAAATTTAAGCGTATTCTGCGTATTTTACGAAGCGGGCTTGAGTCTCTTTAAAATATCTGACTGTATTTTTCTTATTTTACGAAGCGGGCTTGTGTCCTTTTAAAAAATTTGACAATATTTTGCTTATTTTACAAAATGATCTTGAGTTCATTTCGCAAATTTAAGCGTATTCTGCTTATTTTACAAAGCGGACTTGAGCCCCTTTAATAAGTCTAAACGTATTTTATGAAGGGTGCTTGAGTCTCTTTAAACAATCTAATCTTATTTTTTTTATTTTACGAAGCGGGCATGAGTCCCTTTAAACAATCTGAATGCTTATTTTACGAATCAGTCTTGTATTTCTATTTGTAAAATGGCGTTTAAAAAATTTTTATTTTTTTTTAAAGAAATTGTATGCATTTCGGCGAATCTTTTATAGAATTTTCTATTTGCTTTAAGATAAATTATATGCATATTAGCTAGTCTTTGTAGTGAAAAATTTCTTTATTAATAGTTTGGTTTTCTTGATAAGCTTCCATAAACGCACATAGACGGTTTATTCATTCTAGATAATATTCCGTGCATGGAATCAAAATATATTACTTATTATTTCTTGGACTGCCAAGGATAGAAATCAGCTAATACTTTCATTTAAAACTAAACTTTTCTTGCATTTGCGATTGTTAATCAAGGTTATGCGTAAGCCCTGGATACATAAAGTGGCTGTTGAAGTCGAAAATATGGACATACGACACTTAGATGTTTCCCGTACACAGCGGAGATCATTATTTGTAGCATTCATAAAACATGAGATTATTATATATTTTGATTCCATGCACGGAATACTATCTGTAGAATGGATAAATCGTCTATGTGCGTTTATGGAAGCTTATCAAGAAAACCAAATTGTTAATATTAATTGGTCAGAATGGTTTGTGAGCTCCCCTGATAAAGCCCCGTTCCGCGGATTACAATCTTCGCGGTCCTCCGACGACCTCCACCCACGTCGCGGGAAATGCCCGTTGCGGCAAGGAGCGCTGTGGCGCTCCACATATTTTAAACGCTTGAATTAGAGCGTCGGTCCTCCGCGCTACGTACACTCGCTCACTAAAAGATTGCGACACTTTTTTTTATAGGTTTCTAATTTATATTTAATATACGTAATATACAAGGTTGGGAAAGTTACTTTGTAAAAATAACTAGTTACAGTTACAGTTTTTATTTCTCAAAAAGTAACTAGTTACCGTTACAAGTTACCGACTCCAAAAAGTAATATGTTACAGTTACAGTTACTCAAAAAGTAACGAATCGTTACTTTTCAGTTATTTTTAATAAAGCAACATTAGCATTATAAAAAAAAAAGACGTGACATTATAAAAAAGAGAGTGGTTTACATTTATATATTATATAATTTTATTTAAAAAAGAAAAGTAATGCGCGTATTTAAATATGAGCATTTAAATATTTCGTATAATTACAATCAACATTACGATTAGGTGATTGAGCGAAAGAGTTGCATAATTTTGATCCATAAAAGTGACGATTTGACATATATAAAGTAACTGTAAAAGTAACTATTAAATTAGTTACTAGTTACTTAAAAAATCTAAGTTAAGTTACAGTTACACATGGAAAGAAAGTAACGAAGTTAAGTTACAGTTATTGAAAAAAAGTAACTGTAACTGTAACTTCGTTACAAGTAACGAGTTACTTCCCAACCTTGGTAATATATACTTTATAGATAACTAATATTTTGCAAATGCAAACCACGATGTACTATCTTTAGTCTAAAGGCAGTATAACACCAATCGTGATCCGCATTTGCAAAATATTAATGCGTTTTGAAACCTATAAAAAAGAAAGTGTCGCAACTTTTTCGTGAGCGAGTGTACGCATACTGAGCGCGCCAAACTGCCGACGGCCGTAACCGTCGTGCGCACGCGCACTAGAGTCGCGAGCTTTGCACGAAACCCGGGTGCGTTTAATTGTCTATCGCGCTGTCTATATATGATATTTTGTTATTCGTCCGTCCGAGCGTTTTGTTAAATAAGAAACCTAGAAAAGGGGGAGACTCGAAAGGGTATAAAATCCGGCACCCGCGTACACGGAGGCTAGTCACCTCTGAGCGACGGCTCAGATGGATACTAATCCGTCGTTTCCTTTCCTATAAGTCAGAGCATACGAGCGCTAGAGGCCCGGACGTTCCTCGGTCTTGGTCCGGCCGATACCGACGGTGCGTCCCGGCCTCGCTTCCCGGATTGTAACCGATCAGGCGCAAGTGGAAGGGTCGTTGCCTGCCATGGTCCGGCAGTTCCCGGTTGGCCGAGATCGACCGAATCCCTGGACCTCGCATCTACAGAGGTGTGACCGTTGCCTGTTTCAGTCCGTTCGCCGACCACCGAATTATCCACATCCCGAGCCGCCGCGTGTCTGTGCTCCTCCCCCCCTCCCACGATCCGCAACGCCGACATAATTAAATTCGCGTGCCGAGTTTAAGCGAGAAGTAAGCCCCGCCAGCAGTCTGCATTAATAAATGTTAAGAACCGCGCGTTAAAATCATCTACACGACAGCATCGAAATATAATGTATATCTTTAAATAGCAGATAATATATGTATGTGATAAATCTAACGCCTTGGCTTAATTAAAAAAACTTCCTCGTGTCTCCAGACCTGCTCCCGTTCCTGGAGCCGACTGAGGCACATCTGCGCGTTCCGCCATACGGGAATCAGGTCGTTTTAGGTGTTTATTTAATCCACATGCTATTCCAGAACAAACCAATGTCGAAGACAGTTACGTGGCAGCAATTGTGGGGTGCATCTATGTACATATATAGGCCTACATAATATGTACAAATAATTGGATAAAATTCTCGGAAAAACAAATGAATCTCTCGTGTAAAGGAATCGCTAATATATTAGCAAATACTAATATTTTTAAACACAAAGAAAAAAAAGTCATATTAAAACGTGATTTATTAGAAAAATATTCACTTCATCTACATACCAAAATTCAGTTAATTGTATCCTATAAGTATCGACGAAATAATTTTATCGAAATATGATAAGTACAAACAACCGAATAAACAAAATAATAATATTTTAAAGTATACGTTTCAATTTCAGTAATAATTACTATTTTTACATAATTTTATATTGAACTATTCTATTTGGATAACTAATTACGGTTAAATTTAAATAGAACAAAAAGATAAAGACCTATACAAATAACAATTATGATAATTTATAAAAAAGTTTTTCTAACTGATTCAGTTTCGTTTGCTAGAATGTACAATATAAATAAAATGATCCGGATTAAATATTTTTGTTTAAAATATATGTCACGTAAATCGTGTATTTAATTATACATATAACATCGCTTATTGCGCAATAAATATATACATCCATGTTATCCGAACAATCGTATTATTTTAATCGATAAACACACCATAATCATCAGATTACTTTCGCTCGCGGTTATTTAATCAAAGTATTGTTTTCCTGTTTTGTCTAAAAGTAACCCAGACAGCACAAAACCCTAATAGAAGACAAAAAGATGTCTTTTTTAAGATGTCTTTTCGGCTAAGCGAAAAGATATCTAAAAGATGACGAAAAGATGTCTTTTTAAAGGTGTCTTTTGGATAA